ACACTCACGAAATTTCTATCAGGCTTTGCTGAGAACGTATTATCCAGATGAATAACCGGGATTTTGCCTGCCATAACTGTTATGGCTGAAGAGAAGCAGCAATAAATTATATTTGTGCGTGGGAAAATTTTGTTAGAAGACTGGTGAAACTGTTGAACAAACTACAATCATGTTCCTTGATTGCTTTCCTTCAAAGGACTATCGCACCTAAATTTGAAGCTGGTGGATACCATTTCAGAGAGGACCCCACCTCATTGGGACGGCACCAGGGACTTCAGACCCAGGGACCCACCTCCAGATCTCCCCCGGTTTGAAGAGGATTCGTAACCGCCCTGCTCACCGTGCTGTCATCCCCACACCAGCATTAAAAGCCTGTAGCGAGCAACAGAAATAATTAACCCAAATCACGTTTTTATCTGCTATCAGATCACCTCTCTGTGGCTCCAAACGATCTCTCTGCAGCACAGGGTTTTCTGATGGCAAGCCCTACAGCTCTGCTCCCCCCGCAGCTTAACACCCAGGTACCGAGCACAGGAGTTCGGACGCCTGGAAACAGTCATCTGATGTGATGATGGCAGGATGCCCGAACAGCCGGATCATCCAAAGCAGCGTGTTTTCCCACAGCCCAACCAGCCAGAGACAAATGTGCTACGATTCCAGAATTATTTAGTGTCGGCTGATCACTTTTTAATTGCTAATTGTGCAGAAAAGGCCCCCTCCTCTCCCAGTGTGAAAGCACGTGGGCACGGCTCTGCAGCAGCAGGGACACCAGGACCACCACCGGGATCCCGGGAACACCACCGGGATCACCGCACAAGCCACCGCTCTCCTATAATCCCCCACACCAGTGCCCAGCTGGGTAGAAGGGTTGAACTAGAATGTTCCAGCAGAACCATCCCCGCAGTAAGGTACGCCTTGCTGGTTTTGGTCTTGTACAACAAATGTTTGTCGATGAGGTGCATTGATCACGGGAGCTGTACGCAGATATAAAAGTCAGGCTCATTGTGCTCCGAGGGTCTGCTTCACCAGGTTCCTCACAATATCCCAACTGTGTGTGTATAAATATACATGGAATAATACATATTGCAAATATATATCTATATACACACTCATCAGTATACATATTCAGACCTAAAATTATATATACCCTAACGATATGGACAGATTCCAAATACTGCACATAAATGAGAAAGGACAGTGCTGAATATAACTTCTGTTTAGTCTTCGCTGCTCTCTGACCAGGTATCGAAGCAAGCCGAGGGGTTTTTAAGGGCTACGGTTGGGTGAAGTAAATGCATTTTGAGTCGACAACACGTCCTTACCCACGCTGGGGTAACAGTCCCTCCCTAGAGCACACGGCTACCGGGGGAGAAGGTAAGAGCCCCCAGATGCCTCCGTGAACAACGGCCGCGGGGACAGCGTGGCACGGGGCACAGGCAGGGGCACAGCCTGACCTGCGGAAGGGGCTCGGCCGAGTCCCCGCACGCTGTGTCCTACAGCCACCCAAAACCAGTCGCAGAGCCTTGGGACGGCGAGGAGACAGCTGAGACAGCGACGGGGACCAACTCTGCACATCCGCTGTGACTCCAGGGGGATGGGAAGCTCAACCTCACAACGGGAAAGAAATTTATGCACGGTTTACCTATACCGTTATTTGAGCCAGGCAAGGAAACCACCACCTGACTCCGGATCTGTTCTGATCTGCAAACTCCAACGTACAAGGATGAGGAATGATGAGGTATAATTCGGAGCTTAAAACCCAAACGTGGAGGAATCATTCACTGTCACAAAAGCGAGAGAGCTTGTGCATTTCTACAAATCCAACTACTGGTAAAACATCTTATCACAAAAGTAGCTGGACACAAGTAATCAAATTAATACACTTAGATAACAAGCCCCTCAGTAGCTAAACTGTGTTTTTAAATCTGCTTACTGGATATGTTTAAATAGATTATTAAAGCTTTCATTTAAATTTATAGACTCAAAGCCAAAAGCTAATGAATGACAAGTTCAGAACCTGCAACGAAAGGCACAAGCGTGGCCTCGCGTGTAGCTCTGAAACGTTTTAGGATGCAATTGCTGCTGGCTGTTCCGTACCGCTGTCCAGGCGGAGGTTACTGCTCCCCAAACCAAGGCGTCACAAACAGATCAGGCGGGTACAGCTAATCGGTATTCTTGCAACATTGGCCAGCACGGCTCGAGGTGATGTAAGGTGAGCCCTGTCTATGACGTAACCTAACGCAAAGATCATTTATCTGTTTAAAGGGTGGCTGAAAACGTATCAAGCCAGAAGGATGATCAAATCCTGCCTGCTATGGACATCTCCCCTTCATCTCTTGATCCTGAATGGACTTGGTCATAATCGTAGCATGATGGAACCCGCAAGCACCACAGCCAAGAACCGTGAATGTGAACGGACTGGAAGAGAACTATTGCCATCGCCTGGTATTTAATGGGACTGAAGCCCAATCATGGTCTTCAACCAGCTGCTGGACTAAGCTGTGCTGATGTTGTATTAATGATTTTTTGGCCTTCATAGTATCGTTCTTGGGTGTTTAAAGAATGCCCGAAGAGAACCTGATTTTCAGAAAAACTCTAGCACCAATCCTCTGAAAATTAAGACTTTAATGTGCTTCCAATTAGCAACTCAAACCCACTAATTGTTTCTGATAATCCTGGCTAAGAGGGGGATTGATCTCCAAACAGCAAGCAGGGTAACCAAAGCAGAGACTTTTCTTCCCAGCGCAATGTAACCTTAAATTACTGATGTTAAATTACAAGGAGCGAGTGAGAAGACTTCCAGAGCAACAGTACTGTGCCACGAAAGCACCTGCTTACCGAGTAACTGCAGCTGAGAGAACCCACAGCTATGTCAGCAGCATACAAGCGGCCCACAACCCTAGCACACAACTTCCAAGATGCACACAGAAATCTCATCCCGCTTTCTGCACTGCGAGCTCCCTAGCTGGTATTCCAGCAAAGCAAATCCTCAGTTTTCCCTAAGAGCAAAAATGAAAATGTGTTTTATCTTTGGGCACACGAGGATAACCCCGTGCTGCGGGTACGTCACCGTCGGATACTGATCCAGCAGAACAGACTGACTCGAACAGTGAAAACATTTTGTTCATCTCATCCCCCCCCCCCCACCACCTCTCAATACAGTTAAGAAAATTTCATATGCACTACATACATATCACAGTTAAAAATAAAGGATTTTTTAAAAGACTGAAGTCTGGCTAGGATGCCTTTGCTCATAACAACAGATCTGGGTGAGGTACTTTTTCATACTCACAGGGTAAAGTCCCTCATTACGCACAAGTGAGAATATATCTGAAAATAAGCTATTTGGCTACCTATGTGTCAAGCTTCATGCTTTTATTCCAAAGTGAATGATTTTCCAGCTTAGGTCTCAGACTAATAAAAGAAGCGGCGTGTAACATTTGACAGGTGGATTTCGGCATACGGCTTACACACAAAAGCAGGCCCAGCTCTGCATCTACACTACAGGGGTAGAGAACAAGCACTGGAGCACCGGCCGTGGCGACCTGCTGTTACCAGCCCGAGCCTGCTTCTGCAAGTGGCCCAACACCTACACCCGTATGATCTATGCGCACAAGTCCGGTCTGGGAACAAGCTCAAAGCAGAGGCCAGCACCGCTGAGTGCAGACCAGTGTCTGAAACTGGGACGGTCCTTACAGGAAGAGGTCCTTCAGCCTAGGCAGAAGATCCTGTGTTCCAGAGTCAAGCACACACCTTCAACTGACCTTGCTCCCAGGCAGTCTGAAGCGCAGTCCATTTCTCCATACTGTTTTACTCTCTATCCCAAGGCAGTGGGTACCTGTGTCCCCCCCATCCCCGTCCCCATCCCCCCAAAACTTCTCCGTGACCGACTACCCGGGGAGTAACAGGAGGAGTCCTGTGCTGGGGCCGTTTCACTCTCCAATGTTGTCACTAGGTACAAAGTGCAAAAGTGTTGCTGTTCCTGCATCCATTAAAAACTTTAAAAACAGAACAAAACAAACAGAAAAGGATTTCCATAATAATTTGAAAATACATTAGTCTCCAAAAAGCCAGCAAACACCTGATAACCTGTTTGTGCCATATCTGCTCTCGCTCCTGCACGGCAGCAGTCCAGTGGATCATTATCCTCTTAGCTGGCAAACAACACGCTACCTTCTTTGCATACTCTCCAGCCAACGGAGGACGACATCCGGGAAGTTGAGTTTTGATGGCTCGGACAGAAGAGACCAATTGCTAACCGACCCGAGATCCCGCAGCAAACTGTCACATCTCCAGAGGAGAGAGCACTGAGCAATCACTGGAATGCAGAGACTTCCCATTTCTCAAGACAGTTCAGCATTACAGCAAGTTAGCTGCTTGGCCTCTGGCTTGGGACAACGTCAATGACTTCCCTCCCACCCCACAAAAATGTAAAATAAAATCCCTCCCTGCTTCATCCCATTTAAAGTGTTTGCATCTTTTCCTCCTATGAAATGTTTCTGATAAGGCTTTATTGCTATACAAAAGCGGTGCAAATGCTGCCCAAAGACAGCTCCATCAGGAACTTTGGTCACACGACTGCGGGACTCTTGTGCACTGTCCAAGTCCCAGCGTTAGACCTGCTACCTTTCTGAAGAGAAGCTGAATACTGTGTGCAATAACACTAAGAAAATAGGACTGAACCCCAAATACAAAACAAAAACAAGGGAGAGAGGGAAGGGGACAAGGAACTAAAATTAGGCAGAAGGCTTGCTTGGGAAGAACCCCATCATTCCTGTGATGACTAACTGATCAATGCTACATTTAGACAATGCAAGTGTCTTTCAGAACAGATTGTTGGTGTTGAAACTGCGTGTCTGGTCCTGAATGCCAGCTCTCTCATCAATGCAGCATTTATTAAAAAATAAAATTAAAATGAAAAAAAAAAAAAATAATTGACAAATTGCATCACCAGGTAGCAGCCTGGCCTGGATCACACACGTCCCATTGCATCTGTTTCATCAAGCAGGGCCATTTAATGTGGCTTCAGCACAGGGCAAGGCTTCTTCTTTCCTAAAGAGAAACCCAAAGAGTAATATTACAGAAACAGAACTACTGGAACATGCTCGCTCCTAAAGCTTTCATCCTGGTTGGAAACTTTCCTCTTTGGTAATATCTGAGCCAACCCTCCTCTGCTTTTGTTTGTTCTGCCTGCTAAAACATTATAAACATATAAACCCTGTCCCTGCCCATGGCAGGGGGGTGGGAACTCGATGATCTTTGAGGTCTCTTCCCACCCAAACCAGTCTGGGATTCTGGGATTATTAGCTTCCTAGTGAGAACGTCCTCCAATTCCTTACTACATTTAGAAATCCAAATAGAAACTGAGAAGCCAGCTTTGACCATCGATTACACAACATTAATGAATGCGTTGAACCAGAAGTTTGGAACATGACTGTCAGGGTCCCGAGTCCACCAGAAGGCTTCAACCTGACCGGCCTCATCTGGGGCCTACCCCCCAGCACCCCCCATCAGCCCGGGAGCTGGATTTAGGGCTTTGCCGGAGCTGTGCCGTATGCACGCTGTGACCAGCCTCATGCCTTCCCGACGCAGACCTGCCGACTTGGCTCCACGGCTCGTCCCGGGACCCGCCTTGTCCCAGGACGATGGCTGGATGGGGTCGGGTGGGACTGGGCACCTTGTTGGCAGGGGTTTTGTCCCCTGCCTTGCTGGCACCCTCAGCATCCCCTGCCGCTGGTGCGCAGGGCGCTGGCAGCACCGGTGGTGCGATGGAGAGAACAGCGACCCGGTGGGGTACTCAGCTTCCTCCCAAACACGAGTTACACAGCAATAGAATTTGTGAGAGACTGGTGGTAAATCGTGGGCTCAAACGCTTGGCAGCGGCCGTACAGGGGAGAGAGGAGCAGCAATAGTGCCCATGCCAGGACAGGTTTTAACGGAGTGGAGCGAATCGGTTGCAAGAAGCTCAAAGTGCTGATGAGAACAGTTCCTCTCACCAAAAGTATGTAACAGAAGAAATTTCCGTAGGGCGGCCCGGTGCCTGGTTTCAGCTAAGCCCCACTGTCTGAGATTCAATCTAACCACCAGCTTGCTCCAGGAGGATTGAGACACCCGGGGGAGGCTGTCTTAGCTCCAGAAGAGCAGAAGCACCTCGTACTGATACACATCTCCGGCCAAAACCAGGAGCCAGAGCAAAGCTGGGGAACTGGGGATAGCACTGGATACGTGGAAGGATTGGTTTCCGTATTTAAAAAGAACCACATTCACAAAAAATTATTAATATAATTTCTCATTGAGATTATTTCCAGTTTCAGTTATCAAAACACATTCCCCCATTTCCTCATAATATTTTAGTAGTAAATGTCCGTATGTTCACCTGAACATACAAACTCATGCTGAGTACTTGTTATGCACAAGTAAGAAACGAGAAGTCCGTTATTTTAATAAAACAGATTATTTGACAGCACTTCTGGGAAACTGGAAGATACGTGCAATGTATTGCAGGCATAGTTCTACGCTAACCCGCAGTATAATGCTCTCCAAGACACGGCAGATGTACTACTCTTGTAGCTCTGACCATACACTAATGGTAGAATAACCGCATTCAGTGACACAGTAAAAACTGATTCTCTGTTGCAGGCTGGTGAAGGAGAGTTTTGACCATCTCACCTGTCTTTTGTGGCCGTTTCCGTGACTGCTGTGACAACCGCGGCGGTGTTCTGGTGCTCCTCTGCGTGCTGGGCCACGTTGTTCAGGGGTTTGGATGGTTTTGTCGTTCCGATGTCAGTGATGGCCAGCTTATCAATAACCATGCAGTCTGCATCGCTGTGTGGGGAGAATTCAAGTTCACATTAAAATGCCAATTAACGGAGATTAAATTCCAACAGAGGAAAAAATATTCCTCCTGCTCCTAGCACAGGCCACAGAAATCCCCATAAAGAAATAAGAACTGAAAATAAACTGGAATTAAAAAGCAGTGTATGTGTCCTGGAGGCTATGTTTCCTAAAAATCAACAAGACACCAAACAGGCACAAGAACGATAGCTCCTCAAGAAAGGAATTCCCGTTTCCTGCAGCAAAATCCGACCTAAGAGCTCCCCAGGTATCCTCACTGCCTGCAAACGAGACGCGTTACCACCCTCTGCGACCACCTCTGCTGGTGGGCGCTCCCACAGACAAGCACAGGAAACAAACAGTAGGAGGATGCAAGGGTGACGTGCGTTCGGCCAAGACTTTGCAAGTTTAGAGGGTCCAGAAAGTCAAGTCTGGTGGTGGGGGGAGACCACAGAACGGCCTCAGAAGATCCTCTGGTCCAGCCTTTCCTGGGAAAGGTGGCCTGGATGAGCTCACCTCTCCTGGAATTGCCCTCCGTCACCCAACACCGCCCAGCAGATTTCCAGGCTCCTTAAACTGCTGGTGTTGGCAAAGCACAATTCTGATCTCACCCAGGCACCTACGCTGCTCTACTCTACAGATCTTTCCTGCGTGGCACCTGATACTTCTGTGTGCACCTAGAAAAGACTTAAACTGAAGTACAGAACCTAAAATCCTAAGGAGGAAAAAAAAGTTGACAGAATGTTCATGAGTGGCATCTTCAGAAGCCAAATGCAGTTAAATTAACTTGCTTTCAGGAACACATCAGATGACAGATTCCCACGCCCGAGGGGTAACACTTCCAATGACAAACAAAACAGAAGCTCAAATCCTGAAAAAGGAAAACCCTGCTAGCACGAAACCTCCAAATTGTCTACATTTGTATTAAAAAGAGCCATACTTCTAACCAGAGAAGTGATTTCTGTGAACATCTTTATTTTTTGCCTTCTAAGGCAGAGGGGAAGCTTGCATGTGAATGATATTCCTCTGAATTTTAACCCAGTCCCAGTTTCAAGAATGATTTCTTCTTCTTCTTCTTTCAGAGAGCATGGCTACAAAAATGGAAGGAAAGCTCAGCAGATGACTGAGCTGGAATCCTGTCAGCAGCTGCCGAGGGAGTTTATAATGCATTTGTATAATCACAGTCTGGTAATTAAGACATGTGACAGAGATTTTCAGATCAAGGTTCTATTTCTGTAGCTACTTTTCTGTGTGCTCTTGAAAAAAATCACATAAAAAATGAGGAATAATGAGATCAAAACATTTATCTTCCTAAAGGACTAACATGCTCTTAAAAAGAAAAGCCGCAAGTACAAAAATATACTTTAGAGAAACTGCAGGGGATGGATGAGACAGCAGACAAGTGAACGGAGTTGCCAGAAATGTCATTAGAAAATGACTTCCCACACAAGAAACTGGAGCTCATGAGATTTAAATCGCCCAAAGATAAACTTCTTAAATTCAATCACTAAAATTTCCGTGACACAAGGATTCCGATGTTATGAAGTCCTGAGGTTACCTGACTGCTGAGGGGGCATGGAAATTTATCTCTCTTCAAGAGGCTCACGGAAAACCAAAGCCGGACACGCGAACCTCTGCAGAAGGACACTCACAGGCCAAACCGACGGGGTCAACCAGAACAAGGAGCCTGTGTGGAACAGAGAATGCTCTGACCCAGGCGGGAGGGTCAATAACAGTATCTTATGCCAGCCTAGAATAAACTCCAGCACCAGTCAATATTTTGCACCGGCATTCCTCTGGTTTTAGCAGCAAGGTGTGTCCCTGAAATGCCAGGCTGGCCCAGTCCTGCTGCCAGCCAGTGCCATGGATCGAATGGTCCCCACCAGCCCGGGTCCGTGCTCCGCACCTGACCAGGCTGCGGGCAGGGACAGACAGCACGTTACCTCCAAAGAACATAACCCTTCTCTCACGAGGCTGGTCACGGCAGGCTAAGGAAGAAGTGTTAGCAGCAACAACGTCTGTATCTACTCTAGACTCTAGACCTTTCTTAGCTAAGGTCTGCAAACAGATCTCTCATACTTCCCACTCCAGAAAGAATTAGGAGTTTTTAAGCTCTAATTCAAAGCCACTCGTATAAATTTTCCAGTCTGTCCAGAACAGTGTCTTTGTTCACAGTGGACAAGCACTCAGCACAACTTGTGAATGCCACCTACAGCCATGCCCACTGCGCCTTCCAACACGACAGTCAGGACAATTTTCCTTTATGTTCACCAAGTTCAACATCGTAGCCAAATTCTGCAACTCAACCATCAAGTTTGTAAATATTACTCTGGAGGTCACTTGTAACAGAGACTCCTCTCTTTCTCCTAGCACTGCGATGCTTTCTGAGAGACCTAACCGCCCCAGTGCACAAGCTGAATGTCCAAACTCTTCAGGCTCATCAGAAAATAAGTCTAGAAGATATGACCTGTGTTATTAGGCCCTCTAGGAGGTCAGAACAGAGTTTGCATAACATAAGTTGGAGACGTCTCCTCCTAACCACTGCTTTGGGACAGTCCGGTCATCACCTGGATGCCTGGTGAATACTGGGCTTAGCAGAGCCGATCCGGTTTGCTTCACGGTAGGTGGACACAGCTGAGCTCAAAGCATCCTCAACAGGACAGTCTCTACTTGACCTTTATCCAACAGGGCTTCTGCAGGAGAACTTTAAGATCATCTTGGGGTCTAGAGACAGAAGAACCGCTGTGGCAGCAATGGACTATTACTGCCTGGTATCTAGCCTGGTGAAGAAAGCAGGCAATTATCAGCTGGGAATCTCCAGGAGGGGAAGATACCAGTGTGCTACTACAGACACCGGCAAGGAACACCTCCCGCCGGAGCACGTGGAAGTTGGTGAGCGTTGGCCGTTGCTGCTTGAGTGTGGCGAGGTGAGGAATACCCTCCCTGGACACGTTTCACAGACTGCTTTGAGGCACGGCAGGGGACTGTAAAGAGAGTGAACCGCAAACAAGTCCTTCTCATTTACTCTTCCTGATGTATTTCATATCTTAAACATCATCTACGGTTTGTCTTTTAAGGCAGCAAGTTCCTTGAGGCAGGTACCATCACATCTCCTCTGGGTGACGCATACTGCCAAGCACTCCGATTTCACTTAGAATAATTATGTGATAAATTACAACAATAATTTTAAGCTAAAAAGTATTCAAAATACTACTTCTTCAGAAGCTGTGATTTTATGTTAACTGATGTGTACATGTATTGCCCAGGGAAGGCTACCAAAACACTTCTGGAGTCAAAGTCGCTAGTGTCTGTGCAAAATACACACACACATGTACACACACATTGCCTCGCCACTGGGAGACAGGACCAGGCTTTCTGT